GTCAAGAGATCGAGACCATCCTGGTCAACATGGTGAAACCCCGTCTCTACTAAAAATACAAAAAATTAGCTGGGCATGGTGGTGCGTGCCTGTAATCCCTGCTACTCAGGAGGCTGAGGCAGGAGAATTGCCTGAACCCAGGAGGCGGAGGTTGCGGTGAGCCGAGATCGCGCCATTGCACTCCAGCCTGGGCAACAAGAGCGAAACTCCGTCTCAAAAAATATATATATATATTATTAATATTATCGCTGGGAGCTGAGCGATGGCTCCAAATTACCCAGCTTGTTTAACAAAGGAGGGTTCTACCTTTATATAGACTTAACTTTAGATATTACATGTGGAAGAGTCTTAGGTTTACAGCCTTAGAAATCACATATGAAAGGGTTTCGGTTTACAGCTTCAGGGTTCACATGTTAAAAGCTTCCTGGGTTTGATCTTGTTTTTTTTTTTTTTTTTGAGACGGAGTTTTGCTCTTGTTACCCAGGCTGGAGTGCAATGGCGCGATCTCGGCTCACTGCAACCTCCGCCTCCTGGGTTCAGGCAATTCTCCTGCCCCAGCCTCCTGAGTCGCTGGGATTACAGGCACGCGCCACCATGCCCAGCTAATTTTTTGTATTTTTAGTAGAGACGGGGTTTCACCATGTTGACCAGGATGGTCTCGATCTCTTGACCTCATGATCCACCCGCCTCGATCTTGTTTTAAGTAAAAACATTGTCTTCTGGAGAGTTTCCCCAAGACCAAGCCTGCCACCTACAGGAAGGTGAAACAGGAGGCGCCAGTCGGTCAGCAAATGCAGAAAACTCTCTGCAGAGAGCTGCGTGGGCTGACTGGCCATGCCACCCTAGACTGATGTACACCAGGTCTCCTCTTCAAAAACCATCTTGAAACTCTTGCCGGAAATCCAGTGTGAAATGCATCTGGGATGGTGGCTCTTGATACAACAGTCCCCAAGGGTCTCCATGACATGAGAGCCCTTGGTTTCTGGAGAAGAGACAAGGAAGGGAAGTAGTAGGTCACATTCCAGAGGCATCAGGGCTAAGAATATTGCATCGACAGCCTGGGTGTGGTGGCTCACGCCTGTAATCCCAGCCCTTTGGGAGACTGAGGCCGGGCAGATCACCTGAGATCGGGAGTTCAAGATCAGACTGACTAACATGGTGCAACCCGTCTCTACTAAAAGAAATACAAAATTAGCCGGGCATGGTGGTGCGTGCCTGTAATCTCAGCTACTTGGAAGGCTGAGGCAGGAGAATCACTAGAACCCGGGAGGTGGAGGTTGCAGTGAGCCAAGATCGTGCCATTGCACTCCAGCCTGGGCAACAAAAGCAAAAACTCTGTCTCAAAAATAAATAATAAATAAAAGGCCAAGCACAGTGGCTCATGCCTGTAATCCTAGCACTTTGGGAGTCCAAGGTGGGTGGATCATGAGGTCGGGAGTTCGAGACCAGCCTGGGCAACACAGCGAAAGCTCGTCTCTACTAAAATACAAAAAATTAGCTGTGTGTGGTGGTGGACGTCTGTAATCCCAGCTACTGGGTGACAAAGTGAGACTCCGTCTCCAAAAAAAAAAAGAACTTTGCATTGAACATTTTCTGTGGCCCCACTGCATGTTAGGTGCTAGGGCTGTGGATACAGACACAGGTATAAATCAGACATGGCTTCTTCCCTTCATAAGCTCACAATTACTGGCACAAATATGCAATGATAGTATGATATAGGAAGTGTTACAACAGCTAGCATGTCACAGACAGCATATGGAAACTCAGGGAAGATGGGGAGTGGGAGGAAGTCTGAAAAGATTCCTGGAGATTTGTTGCCTAATTTTAAGTTACCTAACTTCTCTGTGTCTCCATTGCTTCATCTGTAAAATGGGGTAATTACAGAACCAGCCTCATAAGGGTTGTGAACATGTAATGAGTATGTAAAAAGCACACAACAGGCCAGGTGTGGTGGCTCACGTCTGTAATTCCAGCACTTTGGAAGGCCACGGCAGGCAGATCACGAGGTCAGGAGATCAAGACCATGCTGGCCAACATGGTGAAACCCCGTCTCCACTGAAAACACAAAAAATTAGCTAGGCATGGTGGCATGTGCCTGTAATCCCAGCTACTCAGGAGACTGAGGCAGGAGAATCACTTGAACCTGGGAGGCGGAGGCTGCAGTGAGCCAAGATTGCACTACCGCACTCCAGCCTGGCGACAAAGCAAGACTCCATCTCAAAAAAAGAAAAGAAAAGAAAGAGGCAGCTAGCTAGGTGTGGTAGCACACACCTGTGGTTCCAACTACTTGGGAGGCTGAGGCAGGAGGATTCCTTGAGCCCAGGAGGTCAAAGCTGCAGTGAGCTATGATTGTGCTGTTGAAGCAGGACACACAAGCCCCCAAATTGAGCCTCCTTCCTTCAGAGTCAGCAAGAGCTTCTAATCTATGGGGTTACACAGATTTTGACTTAGCAGTTACAGCTGAGTCAAACCAAAGCCTACAGCTGTGGGCAAGAAATGGAGCTGAAAACACTAGGATGGGTGTATGGGGAAGAAGCCAAACACCTCTACCATGTGAGCAGAAGGGGTACTGGGCAGGGTCGCTAGAGAAAAATGAAAAGGTAGTAAGTACCCTTAGAAGGTCCAACCGAGGCTGGGCGAGGTGGCTCATGTCTGCAATCCCAGAACTTTGAGAGGCCAAGGCAGGTTTATTACCTGAGGTTGGGAGTTCAAGACCAGCCTGACCAACATGGTAAATCCCCTATCTACTAAAAATACAAAAATTAGCCGGGCGTGGTAATGCATGCCTGTAGTCCCAGCTTCTCAGGAGGCTGAGGCATGAGAATAGCTTGAACCCAGGTGGCAGAGGTTGCAGTGAGCAGAGATTGTGCCACTGCACTCCAGCCTGGGCGACAGAGTGAGACTCTCTCTCAAAAGAAAAAGAAGGTCTAACTGAAAGAAATAAAATGTGTTGCAGAGTTAAGGAGAACAAAGAAGAGATGGTGGGGGGATTCAAGGACTTGAACATTGTGAAACAATGAACAGTGAGCAGGGAGCCACTAGCACCCCTAGTCTGAAAAGGAAAAGAAGGAAATGATGGTTTCAGCGTTCAGGGGCATTAACGTTGTGGAAGAAGGGCTGGCTGATAGGATCCATTGCTGGAGAGGAAGTCAAACATTGCCTAAACTGCAGGAGGGGTGGGTGGGAAGGGGAGGGTCAATAATAGACCTGTTGCTCTTTGGGAGGCCAAGGAGAGCGGATCACCTGAGGTTGGGAGTTCGAGACCAGCCTGGCCAACATGGCGAGGCTAAAAATAAAAAATAATAATAATAACAACCGGGTGTGATGGTGGGTGCCTATAATCCCAGTTACTCAGAAGACTGAGGCAAGAGAATCGCTTGAACCTGGGAGGCAGAGGTTGCAGTGAGCCGAGACTGCCCCATTGCACTCCAGCCTGGGCAACAAGAGCAAAACTCCGTCTCAAAAAAAAAAAATGGACGTGTTATCCACCACATCAGCACAGAGAGTGAAGCAACCGGTAACTTTTCAGTAGTCTATGTGGCCTCAAGTCAAATGTATATAGAGTTGGTGGGCGACATATTTGAAGAAAACAGTGACAAGATCAGAAGGCTGAGACCCAGCAACCTTCTATTCAAATCCTAGTTTTACCACTTTCCACTGGTGACCTCGGGCAAGTTACCTACCCTTTACTAAAATATCTGTAATTGGGGAAGTGATATTCCAGCTGTCCACCTTAAACAGCTGTTCTGCAGCAAAAACACTTTTCAAACTGTAAAGTACTGAAACAGATCTCGATAATGAGTGTTCCATTACAACCCTAACTTTTAAGTCCCTTCCAGAGAATCCTTCCCCCGTTCCCTGCCCCTTTTCTTCAATCTGAAGATGAAGCTGCTCCTGGCTGTAGCAGAGGCCAATTCTGAGCCACACAGGTTTTTTGTTTGTTTGTTTTTTGAGAGGGAGTCTTGCTCTGTGGCCAGGCTGGAATGTAGTGGCGCGATCTCAGCTCACTGCAACCTCCGCCTCCCAGGTTCAAGCGATTCTCCTGCCTCAGCCTCCTCAGTGTCTAAGATTACAGGTGCGAGCCCCCACACCCAGCTAATTTCTGTATTTTTAGTAGAGACGGGGTTTCGCCATGTTGGCCAGGATGGTATTGATCTCCTCGTGATCTAAGAGCTGAGCTCTAATTTTGTCTTTGCCATGAAACTGAATTACCTAGGGACCTCCCTAGACCTGTTTTGTCTCTGGTGTAATAGGGATGAACACAGATGGGGGAATCGTGGTATGAAAGGGCTCTGTGAGCCGTAAGGCATAAAAATCATGAGGTATTGTTACAGGATCAACAGGTGCCTAGACCCGCCCTGCAGAGTAAGTGACCAGTTACACTGGGGCAGCAGGGTTATCAGCAGAAAAAGGTTTAATGATGGCAGGGTGCCTAGGAAGAGATGCTAGGAGATCATCAAATCCATCTTCCCGAGGAGTTCCGGGCTGGGATTTTAAAGGGCATCGTGGAGGGTCGGGGTCTGGAAAATTGGGGTCATTGACTGGTCAGGGTAAGGGGGGATGAAATCCTCAGGCTATGGAAACTGCAGTCCCCACTGAGTCTGGTTCTGTGAGCTCTTTCAGACCAGCTGATGTCAGTGATTATGCTGGTATGCGGGACCTGAAAACATATCTCAAAGGGAAAACGTTTCACAATGTTCAAGTTATCTGTGGAGTTAAGGTGACCTAGTGAGGAACGCTGAGTGTGCTTCAAGCTTAGTTCATTTTCCTTTCTCCCCCTCCTGTCGTCCCTAATTTCATAAAGTTTATGGGAGCAGTTTCTGTACCGGCGCGGTGAGGATGGAAGCAAAGGCGGTGCTGGAACATTCCTGCACGGAAGTGGCCCCGACCCTCTTCCCGGCCTCCCTGGCGCGGGGGCCGGCCAATCGGCGCGACCGGATTGGGCAACTCGGTGTGGGGCGGGGTCTCGGGGAGGCGTGGCTTCCGGCTGGCTCCTCCGCTGTTGCCAAGGGAAACAGCCGCGAGGAGGCGGAAGGAGCCGAGGACCCGCAGCCGGCGTCTAGGCGGCGCGCGGGAACGACTGCGGCCATGGCGGCCTCGGGGCCCGGGTATCGCAGCTGGTGCTTGTGTCCCGAGGTGCCATCCGCCACCTTCTTCACTGCGCTGCTCTCGCTGCTGGTGTCCGGGCCTCGCCTGTTCCTGCTGCAGCCGCCCCTGGCGCCCTCGGGCCTCACGCTGAAGTCCGAGGCCCTGCGCAACTGGCAAGGTGAGCAGGGGCGGGCCGGGATCGCGGGGCGAGCCCTTGTGCTCCGACTTCGCTGGTCCCTGGGCTCCAGCCTCCAGGACTCGCCCCTTCAGCCCTCACCGCCAGCCTCCCCCTGTCTCGTCATCTCGCCTGCCATCCGGAGGGCCTACCTCCAGCACCGTCTCTTGCCCTCCATGTTCCACACCTTTGTCTGCAGAGCCCATCTTCGTCATCAATTTAATTCCTTCCCTGCCCGAATTTGTTCCCTTCCCTGTTGCCACCAAACTGGTTAAGGCACCAAATCCCTTCGCTAGCAAACCCACGCTTGCTCTCCAAGGATAAAGATTTTTCTTCCTCCCGCTCCCATTTCACATACACACACCTAACGTCTGTTTTAGGCCTAAGCCTCACTGAAAAACATTTTTCTCACCCTCATCGCGACCATTGGACTTTATCTACAAACCCCTGTAAGCCCTATAAACGTCCTGCTCTCTTGAGGTTTGGAATTTCTTCTGCTTTTTCATTTGTACCTTAATCTTGACTGCCATTCCCAGCTCATGGGGGTACCAGGGTGTCTTCTGCCTTTGGAGAGAGGTGTTTTGTTTTTCTCTAGGGGAGAGAAATTTTTGCAGACCAATTAAGTATGAACATCCATTGCTAAAAGACATTTCTAGCCTCCGTGTCTTCCTCATTTTCTCGAGAGGAACGCAGGAGATTTGTATATCTCCTGCTGTTTTGCAAAGCACACACACTCATATGTATTAATCTCATTTAACCCTCTCAAGGAACCCATGATATGGGACCTATTATTGGCCCGTTATCTGGATGAGATGGAGGCTTCATGCAGAGAATCTCAGAGCTGTTGCGTCATACAATTGAGATAGGAATCTAGATTTTTCTTTTTATTGTGTGATGTTTTGGACCTAGAGCCTTGGGGTAGATAATTTCCAAATCACGCAGAGTTGCTTTTAGAATCTTTTCATGTTTATACTTGAAATTTCAGGTTTGGGGGCTGGGCATGGTGGCTCACGCTGTAATCCCAGCACTTTGGGAGGCCGAGGCGGGCGGATCACCTGAGGTAGGAGTTCAGGACCAGCCTTGCCAACATGGAGAAACCTTGTCTCTACTAAAAATACAAAATTACCCAGGCGTGGTGGCACATGCCTGTAATCCCAGCTACTGGGGAGGCTGAGGCAGGAGAATCACTTGAACCCGGGAGGCAGACGTTGTAGTGAGCCGAGATCGCACCGTTGTACTCCAGCCTAGGCAACAAAAGCGAAACTCTGTCTCAAAAAAAAAAAAAGAAAGAAATTTCAGTTTTGGAAATACTTAAATAATGAAGTACTCTTCGGGTAATGAAGCCTCTGGAGACGGCCAGGCTGAGCCATATGGCTCCATAGCCTGCTTCCCTAATCAAATCTAAAACAGTTCCCCCACCCTAGGTATGCACAGCACCACCTCACAGACAGAAACAAAATACCAACCTAACCTTAACCTTTCACTTTCTTGAGTTCACTTCCCTGGGTGTGGGTTTCATGGACATGTGAGCGTTAGAGACGTAAGGGACCTTGGAAGGCCTCAATCTAACTCTGTTACTTTACAGTGAGGAAACTGACACCTAGAGGGCCTGTGACATGATTAAACTCAGCCAGCTGGGATGTCATAGAGCGGAGATTCCACTCCAAGTCTTTAGACCCCCAAGTCCACTATTAACCATCAATTCATTGGTCTCCCTCCTTCAGTTTAGTAGTGTTTTGGGCTGTAGGGACATAAAAGTACTTCAGAGGTAACCACTTATAAAATTTTTTTAGAGATAGGGTCTTTCTCTGTTACCCAGGCTAGAGTGCAGAGATGCAATCATAGCTCACTGCAGCTTTCAACTCCTGGACTCAAGCGATCCTCCTTGCCTCAGCCTCCCAAGTAGCAGGGACTACAAGTACAAATCACTACACCTGGCTAATTTAAAAAAATTTTCTTTAAAGATGGGGGTCTCAGCCAGGCACAGTGGCTCATGCCTGTAATCCCAGCACTTTGGGAGGCCAAGGCTGGCGGATCACGAGGTCAGGAGATCGAGACCATCCTGGTTAATACGGTGTAACCCTGTCTCTACTAAAAATACAAAAAATTAGCCAGGCATGGTGGCACATGCCTGTAGTCACAGCTACTTGGGAGGCTGAGGCAGGAGAATCGCTTGAACCCGGGAGGCGGAGGTTGCAGTGAGCCGAGATTGTGCCACTGCACTCCAGCCTGGGGGACAGAGCGAGACTCCATCTCAAAAAGAAAAAGGAAAAAAAAAGATGGGGGGGTCTCACTGTGTTACCCAGGCTGGTCTTGAACTCCTGGGCTCAAGCGATCCTTCCACCTAGGCCTCCCAAAATGGTGGGATTACAGGTGTGAGCCACTGTGCCTGGCGATAACTGCTTTTAGAAAAATAAAAGTAGGCCAGGAGTGATGGTTCACACCTGTAGTCTCAGCACTTTGGGAAGTTAAGGCAGGAGGATCACTTGAGGCCAGGAGTTGAAAGCCAGCCTGGGCAACATAGCAAGACCTCATCTCTACAAATAAAAATTTTTTTAAAGGCTGGACGCGGTGGCTAACACCAGTAATCTCAGCACTTTGGAGGCTGAGGCGGGTGGATCAGAAGGTCAGGAGTTTGAGACCAGCCTGGCCAACATGGTGAAACCCCATCTCTACTAAAAATACAAAAATTAGCCAGGCATGATGGTGGGTGCCTGTAATCCCAGCGACTCAGGAGGCTGAGGCAGTAGAATTGTTTGAACCTGGGAGGCAGAGGTTGCAGTGAGTTGAGATCACGCCACTACACTCCAGCCTGGGCGACAAGAGCAAGACTCTGTCTCCAAAAAAACACAACTTTTTTTAAAAGGAAAAAAGTAGGGTTCTTTGCTGTGTTATTACCTATAAAGCATCACTCTAACGGTAAGATTGGATAAGCACTTTTCAGGAAGACTTCTAATTTCTACATCTTTATTATTAATGATAGTGTTATAATTTTTAAAGCTGCAAAATAATTCCTGGTCCCTTTTTTCTTCCTCCAAACAGACGCTATGGAAGGAGGGGTCAGGATTACAGCAGACGAGCCTGGCACACAGAGTGTTAAGTGACACGCACTCAATCCACCCAGAAGCTGTTAAACTTAATTAACCCTCAGACTGCCCAGTGAGGTAGGTCAGTATGAAAACCTAAAAAAGGATTACAAAGCACTTTACAAATTCAGAGACCACCCCCTAGGGAAAAGCTTTATTTTTTACTCCTGGAAGTCAGTTACTGCTAGGTTGCTCCAGGCCAGGGGAAGAGCAGGGATTAGATATTCATCCTCTCCTTCGAGCCTCTGGGTCCTTCGTTGTTGAATACACTGCTTATATTGCCTCCTGCTCCTGTCTCGCTGGCTCTCACTTCTGTCACAGGGGATTTCTGCCTTTCCTAGGCGCCTTCTAACCTGGCTTCCTTCCTTGGAGCAACCCGCCTAACCCAGCTCCCTTTGCAGTTTACAGGCTGGTAACCTACATCTTCGTCTACGAGAATCCCATCTCCCTGCTCTGCGGCGCTATCATCATCTGGCGCTTTGCTGGCAATTTCGAGAGAACCGTGGGCACCGTCCGCCATTGCTTCTTCACCGTGATCTTCGCCATCTTCTCCGCTATCATCTTCCTGTCATTTGAGGCTGTGTCATCACTGTCGAAGCTAGGGGAGGTGGAGGATGCCAGAGGCTTCACCCCAGTGGCCTTTGCCATGCTGGGAGTCACCTCCGTCCGTTCTCGGATGAGGCGGGCCCTGGTGTTTGGCATGGTTGTGCCCTCAGTCCTGGTGCCATGGCTCCTGCTGGGTGCCTCATGGCTCATTCCCCAGACCTCTTTCCTCAGTAATGTTTGCGGGCTGTGCATTGGGCTGTCCTGTATCCTTCCTAGCAGAGAGCTATAGAAAGATGCATGTCAAAGGGTGAACCAGGCTGGAGGGTCTGGGGTGTCAAGTAGTTAGAGGTGGGTTGATTTTTTATCTTTTTTGAAACAGTCTCTATCACCCAGGCTGGTGTGCAGTGGCGAGATCTCAACTCATTGCAGCCTCTGCCTCCTGGGCTCAATCCTCCTGTCTCAGCCTCCCAAGTACCTGGGACTACAAGTGTGCACCACCACACCTGGTTAATTTTTGCACTTTCTTTTTAGTAGAGACAGGGTTTCACCATGTTGCCCAGGCTTCTCTCGAGCTCTTGGCCTCAGATGATCTACCTGCCTTGGCCTCCCAAAGTGCTGGGATTATAGGTGTGAGCCACCATGCCCAACTCATGTCTGATAATTTTTTTTACTTTATTTTTTCATGTCTGATAATATTTTATTCACAGACACTGTGAATGCTGTATTAGGGGCTCTAGATTTTGTTGTCTCACTTACAAAATGTTTACTTTTGTTCTAATAGACAGTTAACTACTTGAAGATTAGCTTGAAACTTGAGATTTGTTTCTAAGCTCTTTTTGGGAGAGTCTGGCATAGCGTTTTGTTTTTTTTTTTTTAAAGATGGGGTTTCACCATGATGGCCAGGCTGGTCTTGAACTCCTGACCTCAGGTGATCCACCCACCTCGGCCTCCCAAAGTGCTAGGATTATAGACTTGAGCCACTGTGCCCAGCCGGCATAGCCTTTATTAACAGGCTGAATCTTTGTGGTTGCCTAATCAGTGGTGGGTCAGATGACCAGGATGCCGCCAAGTCACTGGGGGTGGTGACAGAGTATAGGGGAAGCACATCCAAAGACGCTCACTTGAAGCTCACATGGTTGCATTGAGGCAGGTGCCTTCAATCTGGGATAAAAGGACAAGAGGTATCAGTCCCTCAGGAGGACACTGAGACAGCTTCCCACCTCATCCACTACACCAGCAGAGACCCCACCCGCTACACCAGCAGAGACCTCACCCGCTACACCGGCAGAGACCTCACCCGCTACACCGGCAGAGACCCATCCACTACACCAGCAGAGACCCACCCGCTACACCAGCAGAGACCCATCCACTACACCAGCAGAGACCCCACCCACTACACCGGCAGAGACCCCACCCACCAAGACGCCACCCGCCACACCAGCAGAGGTGTGTGCTGGCTTCTGGCTGCAGTGGCTAGAAGGGTGAGGTCATGGCACAGGTGGGTGTAGGAGGAGGTACAGCATTAACACCCCCTGCTGCTGGGCACATTAGTTCCCGGTGAGGTACAGTGGATAGAAACCTTTGGCTCTGGGTTTCCTCTGAGCTGCAAGCTCCAGCCAGAGTGTGCAGTATGCCAAACATGAAGGCCTCTGTAGAGTAAGTGGAAACCTGTATTCTCCCCAGTGGAGTGTTCGGCCCTCCTTTGTTTGCTGCCTCCAATTTCACTTAACAGGCCAACCTCAGACGGCCTCACCTACTGCTATTCCCTCGACCTCTCAGAGCGAGTCGCGTTGAAGCTGGATCAGACATTCCCCTTCAGCCTGATGAGGAGGATATCCATGTTCAAGTACGTCTCAGGGTCTTCAGCCGAAAGGAGGGCAGCTCAGAGCCGCAAGTAAGTGACAAAACTCTTAAATGCTGTTAAATCTTACTCTGTTTTGTTTTGTTTTGTTTTTTTTGAAGACAGGTCTTGCCCTGCTGCCCAGTCTGGAGTGCATTGGTGCGATCATAGCTCACTACAGCCTCTCACTCGAGGACTCAAGTGATCCTCCCACCTCACCTCAGCCTCCGAAGTAGCTGAGAGCACAGGCACACACCACCACGCCTGGCTTTTAATTTTTTTGTAGGGATAGAGTCTCACTCTGTTGCCCAGTCTAGTCTCAAACTCCTGTCTCAAGCAGTCCTTCCTCAATATCTCAAAGTACTGGGATTACAGGTGTGAGCCACTGAGCCTGGCATGACATTATGAAGGCAACTCCCAGGCATGCAGAGGGTGTGGCTGGTTCATTGCCATGAGTAATGAAGAAGTGTGGTGCAGCAGATGGGAAAATCATGGACAGATGTCTTCTGAGCCTTCTGGATTCTGCACAACTGCTTCTGGAACACCAACTGGGCAGGAAAAGGAGGGTATTTGAGGACACTTAACGTGTGATCCTGAGTGACTTCTAGACAGGCTGGGCAGGAGGGCCCCTATCTAATTGAGAGTAGACACATACCTGCTGCAAGTCAGCCTGGGCTGTGACACACAGTAGCCCTGATAAGAAGTGCAGACAGGGCTGGGTGCAGTGGCTCACCTGTAATCCCAACACTTTGGGAAGTCGAGGTGGGCAGATCACCTGAGGTCAGGAATTGGAGACCAGCCTGGCCAATGTGGTGAAACCCCTTTTGTACTAAAAATATAAAAATGATGCAGGCGTGGTGGCGCATGCTTGTAATCCCAGCTACTGGGGAGGCTGAGGCAGGAGAATCACTTGAGCCCAGGAGGTGGAGGTTACAGTGAGCCAAGATCACGCCACAGCACATCAGCCTGGGCAACAGAGTGAGACACTGTCTTAAAAAAAACAAAAGGTGCAGACAGTCCACACGGCCAACTAGGCTGCTTAGGAGGTGGCCTGGCCCACGTTTTCTGGTGAGGTTTACTGTTTTCCAGTTGGCTCATGGACTCTCAGATGGAGAGTGCTGGTAAGCCACCAGAGCTTGTGTGACCTCACTTCTTCATTTTACAGAGGAGGGCCAGAGAGGACAGGGTCCTCACCCATGAGTCCCCTGTGTTTCCAGGTAACAGAGTCAGCAGAAGGGCTGCCTGGAAGCGTGTCCCCTGCTCAGGAGGTCCCCTCCCCTCTCCCGCGTTCCCAGTGCCCCCTGCCTCTAGAGTTCTCCACTGGCTTCTGTCTGTGCCGAGACTTCACAGTGTAGTTTTTCCTTAATGGTCCTCCCAAAAAAAAAAAAGGGGGGGGGGGAGGAGCTCACTAGGAAAGGTGCGTTTGTCCATTTTGTATTGCTGTAAAGAAATCCCTGAGGCTGGGTCATTTATAAGAAAAGAGGTTTATTTGGCTCACTGTTCTGTAGGCTACACAAGAAGTATGGCGCCTGCCTCTGCTTCCGGTGAGGCCTCAGGCAGCTTCCAATCATAGCAGAAGGGGAGGGAGCACTTCAAGTTGAGAGATGGAGGTGCCGGGCTCTTCAACACCCAGCAATCACATAAACTCAGAGGGAGAACTCACTCATTCCTGTGGGGTGGAAGCCAACCGCTCATGGAAGATCTGCCCCCGTGACCCAGACACCTCCCCCTCAGCCCCACCTCCAACACTGGAACACTGGGGATCACATTTGGGTTTTTTTTGAAATGGAGTCTCACTGCGTGGCCCAGGCTGGAGTGTAGTGGCATGATCTCAGCTCACTGCAACCACTGCCTCCTGGGTGCAAGCAGTTCTCCTGCCTCAGCCTCCTGAGTAGTTGGGATTACAGGCACCCACCACTGCTCCCAGCCAAGCATCACGTTTCAGCATGCAATATGAAGCAGAGGAAACGTCCAAACTGTATCAGAAGGCAGAGTGCTTGGTCAGTGGCCTTTTTTGGCCCTCTACCAGCTGTGGAGTCAGTTTTCCCCTGCACACTGGCCTGGATGTGGGGGTTTTTGTTGAATTGGAAGCTGCCCCTTGGAGCTTCTTCTAGAAGGTGCTCTCAGCTGTCACCAGCTCAGAGCCCTAGGACTATTTTCTTTTTTTATTTACCCAGGCTGGAGTGCAGTGGCACGATCTTGGCTCACTGCAACCTCCACCTCCCGGATTCCAGCGACTGTCTTGCCTCAGCTTCCAGAATAGCTGGGACTACAGGTGCCTGCTACCACGCCCAGCTAATTTTTTGTATTTTTAGTAGAGACAGGGTTTCTCCATGTTGGCCAGGCTGGTCTTGATCTCCTGACTTAGTGATCTGCCTGCCTCGGCCTCCCAAAGTGCTGGGATTGCAGGTGTGAGCCACCGCGCCTGGGCCCTCTGACTATTTTTCTAAAAGGCGAGGAGGGCAGCTGGGAAAACAGAAATGGGGACTCACCGCATTGTGGCTTCAGGCAAGTAACTCCTGGGGTCTCACTGTGGGAGAGGCTGTCAATTTAGGACTAGGTGTTTTGTGTTTTTTAATCATTCTCATTGACTCTTGAGAACTGCCTGTCACCAAGGAATCCCCTCTGTCACAGCTGATGGTGGTCACCAGCTGTACCTCACATACCCCTAGTGACAAGTGCTCACTCTCCAAGACTGCCCCTGATGAGAAGCTTCTTCCCTGTGACAGGCAGATCTGGGGTTTGAGAGGAAGACGGTGTTCCTTCTGTGTTCCCCAAATGGCATGGAGTCCAGTCCCTCAGGTCCGGGGCCTGCTGCTGACACTCAGAACATTGTGTTTCAGGCAACCTGACAGTGGCTCTCCAGCCATGTCATCACACACTTATTTATTTTGGCTGCGAGATGGTGGTTTGAACAGCTTGTCTCTTCAGAGGCTCTTGTTAATAAAGAAATTCTTTTTTTTTTTTTTTTTTTTTTTTTTT